ATGACGGCGGTCTCTGTTACGACGAACCAATAGGACAACCATCTTCGATTTGTGGTGCAACATATCAATATAAGTGTTTTCCTACATGTATATTCATATTGAAGTAGAGTGCTCGAGGCATGTATAATCTCATATTTCCGGCGATTATACTTTAGATAACGAGTCCATGGTAAGACTAGACTGAAGACAATTCTCGCCGGGCAATTTCTGTATAGCATAGTCCACTTTCGTGAATCTCAAGGATAACATCATTAATATTGCAGATATCTAATTCCAAAAAACATAATATCCGGGGCGTTGTTTTGTGGATTGTTAATTGCATAACCCGTAATGCGTGGTAGTTTGATTTTGTGAACTTTAATTTATATAACGAAAGATACGGCAACATTTAGCAGACAAATGTTTGTTTGTTTGTTGTTTCATGGAGAAGATGTGAAAGCTGTCGCCATGGCAACAACTGTTTTGAATAATTAGTTCAGTAAGTTAGAAGTAGAATAAAACTAACCTGTCTCATTTTCACAACTTCGTACACACAACTGTGTACACATGCATACAGATATTAATAAATGTAAACAATATGTAAATGTAAAAAATAAATGTAAACAATATGTAAATGTAAAAATAAATGTAAACAATATGTAAATGTAAAAATAAATGTAAACAATATGTAAATGTAAAAATAAATGTAAACAATATGTAAATGTAAAAATAAATGTAAACAATATGTAAATGTAAAAATAAATGTAAACAATATGTAAATGTAAAAATAAATGTAACCATCTATACAAGGTTGTGAACAGTGGAGCATTATGTGACGTTCTGGATTTCATTTTGAAAAAAAATAATATACTAGTGTAAACTTAAGCAACACGATTATAGACGCATTATGGACGAAATCATGATAATATTGTTGTTCGATACTCCGTACTGAAGACCAAGGCGTATTTTGATTTATCATAAACTGAAACTGTTGCATTTGCAGAAACGCAGCAGTATGCGTTCCATGAAAATTCAAAGCCTTCAATGCGCATGTGCAGTAATTGTCATTGTTCAGTCCAAGATAAATCATAATTCAATCTACCAATGTACTGTGTCAAACAACAATACTAACAATTACATGTTCTTGTTCACATTGCATCTTTGAATATAAGACACCAGCCATCGACGCCTCTGTATTCGAATGTCGTCAAGGAACATATATACGTGTACCATACATGCCATGAACACGATTATCGACGTGTATACATGGTATTTCTCATTCGGTAAAAGGTCAAGGCAAACGATCAATATTCTAGGTTGAAACGCATCTTAGTTTAGCCGGTTTCAGCCTTTGAATATCTGTTTAAAGCGGGGGAAGTCGTCATCTGCGGCGGACGGCCATAGCGTGTTGTTGTTTACAAACAAGCGTCTCTGCCCATGAGCCTTTGTGTATTTAGCGTGATTATAAATTATTGTAATTTAAAAAACAACAATAATTTTAAAATATCATTCACGTGTTATGGTTTCATTTATAGTTTTTTTTTACGTTTCATATTGTAACAACTTTTTATATATCACTGTGGCTTATTTTTGTTCTGTGAGGTCATTTTGGAAACCTTTTATCTCAAAGAAGAAAAGAAATCAGATACACCAAGAAAAAAACTGTTCTTGCAATATTTTTGGTTCAAATAGATTTAGATTTTAACGAATTGTACAGTTTTCCCGAAATGCCATAGCGGTTATCATAGACCTAAACTGTCGTCGAGTTAAGTATGAAATCACATTCACCGATTACAGACAAATCCGTTGCTAAAGTGTCGGTACTAGAAGCGATGGTATAAATGAATTAGTCCTGGGAACGCACATTGAGATTTAATAATTTACAGAATGAATTGCTGATTATATCCTAGACCAAATCAATATTTAAGATGATTCCCAAATCAATAAATGGTGGAAGAGTGCAAACATAGTTGACTTCAGATAGCATCAAATATGGTGACGTAGATGGTTTTGTTTCTCAACTGACTTCAAATGACTTTCTTCGCAAATGGACGTCGAGATCTCGTTGAGAGGGGAGAACCACGTGACTTAGTTGCCCTCAAATAACATTCGCTAAAGTTACGGCGCCCACTGTTCCCCTGCCTTACCCCGGACTTCTCTCATACATCACATTGTGCAACCGGAAATTACTTTGGAAACCTTGTGTAAACAAATATCAAAAAAAGCTCCTCAGGATAACATCTCGATAAAACTAATCACATTTTATGACATTTAATATTTTGTTTCTATATGCCTATAACACACAAAACTCCTAAAAACCCGAGGCTGTGTAGTGAGTAGAAAAGCTCCCTTTAGGTCCCCTTGGTGTATCTGATTTCTTTTCTTCTTTTGACATTTACAATTGAATGCGCGTGGGAAAACAAACGTCGGAAGTTAGTTTTCAAAAATGTCATGCCCACAATTTTTTGTATTCTATCCTTTCAATTATATTACGTACAATTATATCTGTTATTTGATTTAACAGTCATGGTAAATTAGCAGATTTTTCGGCGGAGGGACACTGATTGTGAAGAGTATAAATCAGTATTATAGTTATTTATTTCTATATATCTCACTAGATGCCTACGAGTGCGAGGAAGGTTGGCAGAAGTGTGCAGATGGTAAACAGTGTATCAACAGCTCGTGGATTTGCGATGGTAAACAATACTGTGCCGACGGCAGTGATGAACAACTATGTGCTGCTGGTATGTTTTACAGTGTCACAGGTTTAGCACAACGCCTGTAAACAAATATGTATTTCAGTTTTACATGTGTTGTATACGTCGCATAGGTCCCATATCGAACAGGACGCGATGTGATTTACCCAAAATATTGCATTAGTCAATGTATCAACTGACCTAGACTAGTTGTATCAATTGACCTAGACTAGTTGACCTACTGACCTGCTAGTTGTCTCAACTAACCTACTAGTCACGGTTGACTCAACTGACCTACTAGTTCACTCAATTGATCTAATTGACTCAACTGACCTACTAGTTGACTCAACTGACCTACTAGTTCACTCAATAGATCTACTAATTGACTCAAGTGACCTATTAGTTGACTCAAGTGACCTACTAGTTGACTCAACTGACAACTTGGCACCCACTAAAGGTGACAATAAGCTATTTTAAAAACACTGAAATGCGTCGTGTTAGTTGTTATTTGATGTTATTTTATATTATATTATACCAGAATAAGCATGCTTTAGGATTGTAGTGGAGGGAGAGTTTAACGAAAACCAACTGGTTATGAAATGGCGGACTGATACATTTAGAGTGAGCAGTAAGCTGGGTCAATTGTTTAATATTGCAAGCACTAAGTATAGAATTGACTTGATTTTTTGCACTTTCAACGACGTATGTGACGTTATTCACTATCTCATTAATTAATCAACTTGGCATGTATGTGTCATTACAGAACTTAAAGAAGAGTTAAACTGGAGCTTGTGTTTGATTGGCGTATCAGTGCCATGTGACAACGGACTTCATTGTTATCTGGAAAAACTACAGTGCGACGGAAAGGAGGCGTGTAGTGACGGCAGTGACGAGTGGAATTGTGGTAAGTAATTCGCGGTACTGAATGTCACTAAAAACATCTACGGGTACTTGAGGATGTTGATACTATCGGCCATGAACGAATGGAAATTACCTCAGACTAGTAGTCTGAGAAGTTATCAATGTCAGCTCACGATGATTGGTTCATTTTGCTGGTGACGTATTGAGATCGTATTTGCATATATTTGCAGGTCTAAAGAACTGTTCCTATGTATATGTCGCGCTCTCTAGCACTCTCCCGTGACGTAAATGAATGTGAAGGACGCTGTTCACAGACGTTGATATTATTTCTGATATGTCGTCGTCCGTCGGTGTACTTGGAGGTTGTTATAAAACAATCTCCCCTTAAATTGCGTCGTATTTGCGAATGAAGCTACTGAAATACTAAGAACACAAGTAAAATGTCGCGACAATTCTTTATCTCACAAGGTTTAACGATCTATGTGTAATGCTGGACAAATAAAGCTGATTTCGCGGCAGATTTCGTTATTTCATTTGAAATGTTACAGTCAATTGAATTTGAATGGAAAATAAAGAAAAAACATAATAGAAACAAAATAAAACAAAACAACTCTCAAACATTGTAAAACACAAACAGACAAACACAGACAAACGAGAGTGGCAAGAGAAAATTAATTCAAAAATTAGGTACAATCTAAACAATGAACGCAACAAACTTAGAACGTACTGTCAATTTAAGAAAACTTAGGAATTTGAAAATTAAAATTATTCAGAAATTTCAATTTTCGTAGAAGCTTGGTGATCATAAATTGAATGAAAAAAAAACGAAATTCTTGTTAACGAAATAGTGTGTAAAAATGTTGAGAAGATAAAATTGAAGATGAGAACAATCTTGGAATATGCAAATTATAAAACCGCCTAAAGATGTTAATTTTACTTCAATAATGAAAATCACTTGCAATGTATTTGATAAAAAAATATATAATAAATATCACCATTTTGGAAAACAGGGGTGAAGCACTTTATAGTTGATGGAGGAACCGTAATATTGCACACGCTCAATTTAAAACTAGTAAATATGCATGTGTGTTAACCTTGACTAGTAACGATTTGTTGTCTACAGCGTGGAACTCCAGCTAGAATATGAAATGTACAAAATTATACATGTGTGGCTCACAGTAAAATATTTTCCGTTAAATATAGGGTGATAATGTAGTATACCAAATAAGGCACGTTCCATGTATGATATGATCTATTACTTACTTATTATTATTACATTGCAAATTATGTTTTCTTGTCGTTTACAGAGGAATACAAATGTCCATCTGAGATGGTAAAGTGCATGGATGGCAAGCAGTGCATCTACTTGGAATGGCTATGTGATGGCGAAGTACAATGTCATGATGGAAGTGATGAAGCATTCTGTGATTTGACAGGATCGAGCACTGAGACTGTGAGTTAAATATATAAACAATATTATGTGTCCTAAACTGTTCTGGTATTGTCTGGTATTATCTGACACCAATACTATCAGTATTATACTAGTACGTTTTGTATTACAACTGCTAAAATTTGGGGATAAAATAATCGGAAAACCATAACGATGGTGGAGTTCCCCCATACAATACCAGGATATGTGACTGTTAGTGGTCGTGCATGCAGTCTAATTTATGTTACATTTTGAACAAGTTTAAAATATAATTGTTTAATATTGCTTCCTTATATGATACATAGTGACACACATGTTTTATTTGCATTACACACTTTATAATGCAAAATATATCCAGTATGTTTTCATAAATATATAATGTATAAATACAATATAATATAATATAGGGAAAAAATTACATTCCCATGACATTTCCGATATTTAGTGGTTGAACAATATGAATATTAGGTGTTGATACGTAAGGGACGTCGTGTGCATTGCATCATGGGAACAATGAATACATGCATGTTAACATCACTGTATAACCCTTTGTATTTTCACAGAATGATGGAGGGTCATCGGTAGATGACTACATGGACTTCGTTGGAAGTACGCGATAACAACCACCGCCGCCACCACCACCACAGCAATTATACAAACCATTTAATATAGATGTTGCCAGAGACACCGGGATTTAGACAGCACTGATAGTACAGATGCTAACACTATCTTCCTTAACATATCGTTCCAGAATATAAAACTATGATGTATTTTGCTTAGGGTAGTATTTAGATTACGAGTTTTATCGATAAATATATATTGTATATGATAAGTTTGTACGCAGACTGCACGCAATAAACATACATAGAATATTCATTGTGGTAATAAAGTCACGCTATTAATTAAACGTCTGTATTCTTTCTATGCCCTCTTTAGCCCTAAAATCACAATTTCCCTAATGTTGAACACTTCCACACATCGTCTTATATGTACAGCGTTTCATAACAGAAGTCATACATATAATATTGTAAGAGAAATATTTGAGTAGTTCAGGGACTGTCTCTCACAAGTTATATCACCCTGTAACAAACTGACGGTGGTCGCGCCAAATCAATGGTCGATATCGACTCTCACGGACGACACCGGTTAAACACTAACAAAAAACCTCGCTTTAACTACCACAAGCAACCACTGCACTCGCATCCGTCAAAGAATGGTAACGGGGACGAAATCAATGAAGAAACACACACCATTCAGGAATAAAACAGCAAAGAACTGTATTCTTCATAGTACCGCTTCAAAACTACAACACACGCTTACTAAAGAAAAAAACTAAGCGAACAATAAAGATGACCTCATAATTCGATCACATGACTTCAAAGTCAGCACGTAATCGGCTAAGAGAAATTATACGCGTACTAGTTCCATATATGGATTGCGATGTTCCCGCGAAAAGTAGGTTTCCAGGACCAGTGACGTTTCTCGAATATACACGAAACTATACGAATGTCCGAGTAACTAAATAATTCCATGACATTCCTCCCTCCCAGACCAAACTACATCCTGTGTTTGCGTCATACTATACAATCAAATATGAGAAATTCGAAGTACAAAACAGTGAAATAAAGTATGAAATAAAATTATAAGAAATAACAAATGATTCTATAATCTACTTACATATGTGAGCGAACTACAAGTTCCTGTAAAGTAAGGTTTTAGTCATTACACAAATCAACAATAACAAAGCAATATCAGTCTTATTAATTATTTGCTTTATAATCAAATCTCTTTTATATTATATGTCCGTTGTCCATGAGTTTGGATAGCTGAACAAATCAAATATGGTTAACATCATCATCATATAGGTTAATTCTTCTGATTGTTCCAAATCCATAATAGTTGGTCGGTTTACGTTCTCTTCTTGGATATCTTTGCGAATCACTAGGTGGTTCCATAATCTCAGTGCATGTCTCCTCGTTAGTAGGACCGTTTACATTTCCACCATCAGCAGAATCAGAATGGAGCTGGATATTGGGTGCAAGTGTTTCTGTTGCGGGTTCGTAAGTAGTTTCAACAGACTCTGAATGGTCACCAGCAACTCCAGCTGGTTCAAACATCGGTGTCTCACCATGAGTTTCTGATGAAGGGGAAGTTTCGTCCATCTGATCTGTCTTTGGATCAATTATCGGTTCCTCAACAATTCTCCAGGTTGAAAACCCTGCCTGTCCAAGTGCCGATCGTAGTGTTTCTTCTGGACACGGGCACTTATAGCCACCTGTTCTCTAGCCTAGGCATGTGCTTTCTGCAACTTCGATTTCAGATCGGTCACATAGTCTGTCTGTGCCCTGGCATCAGGATCATTACTTTCAAACATTAAATCCACTGACAAACATACATCTCTGCCAAGCATTAACAAATTAGGAGTTTCACCTGTAGAGGAATGCACAGATGATCTATAAGCCATGCCGACATAGGGTAAATACTGATCCCAGTCCTGTTGTTGTGCCAATGGATCAAGATAAGTCTTAATCGATCCAACAATAACCTTCATATGTCTTTCAACCAAACCGTCACTTTGAGGATGGCGAGGTGTAGTGTACGTCTTAGAAATGTCCAATAACTGACATACTTCCTTGAAAACAGTGGATATAAAATCTCTACCCCTATCAGAATGAGTCTCTCGAGGCATACCAATCCTAGTGTACACATTATCAACAAGTGCTTTAGCCACTGTTGTTGCCTTCTCATCCTTCACTGGAATGCATTCCAACCACTTACTAAAGTAGTCAGCAAAAACTTTCTTGTTACCATCAAAACTTTCCGTGAAAGGACCTAGGATGTCAATGGCTGTCCTTTCCATCGGGTAGCCAACCAGGTAGGATTGTAAGGGGGCTCTCTTACGTCTTTGTGGCATCTGACGACGTGCACATACATCACATGACCTGATATATGCTCTGATATCAGATGTCATTCCATACCAGAAGTACCGCTGTCTCAGTTTAGAGAGGGATTTATCCATTCAAAATGTCCACCTGCTTTAGCTGTGTGCAGCCCATGCAACACATGCTGTCTACAGTCTAGGGGCAAATACAGCTGCCAGGTCACTTGCGTACCATCAGCACTTTCAAACAATCTATACAGAACACCATTACCTGACACGAAGATGATCAAATGAAGACCAGCACATTTTTACCTCAGGAGAAAATGCAGAAATTTTCTTCCACGCAGGTCTTTGCATAGCATGCTCAACGGCAGAAATTAAAGTGCTCATACCAGCCTCCTGATGCTGATTTCTCCCGGAGTTCACTGTGGTTCCATGTTGGGTATTGCACCAAAATACCAACATCTGACTGCCCATTCGTCTCACCTCCCTGCTTGGATTCATCTCAACATACCGTCATCACCCTTCCAGGGGGTAACCCAGGAGTACTACCAACTCCTACAAAATCCTGACCAACCGGTACATATTCAGAAGCTAATGGGTTCATTGAGGGAGCTTTCTGACTAGATTCATCATCCGAATCTGGATCACATTTAGAGGCACTAGTGCTAGCATGCATCTGACCACATTGTTTACATCTATAAGTAGGTGCTCTACTTAATGCATCTGCATTGCCATGACGTTTGCCTGGCCTCTGGACAATGGTGAAATCAAATTGTTGCAATAATTCAATCCAGCGAGCCAGCTGCCCCTCCGGATTTTTGAATCGCATTAACCATGTTAAAGAAGCATGATCTGTCCGAAGTGTGAACTTTCTTCCTAACAAATAATGACGGTAGTATTTGACATAATTTACAACTGCAAGCAACTCTCTTCTGGTCACACAATATCTGCGCTCTGCAGCTGACAAAGCCCGACCTGCATAACCAATAGGCCTTTCCTTTGCGTTCTGTATCTGGGACAAAACAGCACCAATGCCAAAACCACTAGCATCGGTATCTAGTATAAAGGTTTCATATTCAGATGGAAATGCCAAAACAGGAGCAGATGTCAAAGCATCCTTCAGACTATCAAAGGCATTTTGACATTGCATT